CAAGCATATGCATTCTTTGATTTCCCTCAGCCTGAGCACTGGCTGACATTTTAATGGTTCTGTGATCTATTGCTCACATCTAGTGTCACAATGAAGCAACTCCAAGTCTGAAAATGAACCATGTACAGTGCACTGACATACTCCATCCTAAACAGAAACCAGATCCTTCACAACCACAGCAGCACCATCCTTAAATCAACAACATGGCACTAATAAAATGCCCCTCTACCCTCATAACAGGATTCAGTATGTATATTACTATCATACTATGAACATCACACACCCACTGCAGCTGAAAAACACACTGACCTTCCTTCAGAGGCACGTTGTCTGTATTATGGAAGAGGGGGACAAGTCCTTACCAGGAAATTTACTTTGCTAGATCATCATGTCCAACTTGAAGGACATTTACTCTAGTGAGGCTAACATGTGGACTTGTTCAAGCTCATGAACCAAACTTTAGAATCACCTGTGGTGTAAGTGAATACCAGTCATCTTCTTCTGATTCCTATATTTTAGAATACACGTGTACAGGAAGCACAGTTTTCTATTCAGGCACTCTAATAATAAAATGCCTATCTCAGTGAAGAGTTAATAATACACCAACAGAGTTTATAACTGGATCAGCAAAATACTGAGACTGATCCAGGTGCTTCTGATCCCCTGTGGTGCAAAATGTTTCCCAATCACTGTGCTAGACTTTGTGATTTATTATTTTCTTCATGAGATAAAACTAGAACCCCATGAAATGCAAGGAACAGAGACATAATCCGGAGGTCACTATAAGTTTGTCCACACCTCGGCTGCACCATCATCTCCTGATCATGTGATGGGAACCACCCAACGCCCACGTCTGACCTCCTGCTGAGAACACGGGCTCAGCTCTGGTTACACAGCAACTGAAGGACTCGTAGTAATGGCCCCCAGACTCCCACCATACCATATAATTCCTCTACTACTGGTGCTAACATACAAACTAACATGCTTTACTTATAGAATGTGTTATAGCTACGTGCAATTTTTTTCATGTGTATAATTTAGTTCATTCTTTAGGGTCAATCCAGCACTGCAATCCAGTGTTACCGCAAAATCTGTGACCACAGGGGTGCTGTTGTAATTTTTATCATTTGTTGCATCGACACTGAGCCAGAAGAGCGTGTACGTAAACGGCATAAACTGATCCAAGTGCAGCCCTGCTGCTTCCACTACTACTGGTGTGATTGGACTGCCGCTGTTTACGCAGTCCATGTGACCCATCGATGTATAGAGTGGAAGTCAATATTATTGCTTTCTATCAAGAAAGAGACCATTAACTTTGGTTGACCATGTTAATCACTGCAGGCGTGGTACCTGCCAACATGAAGAAAATGTAATTGGTTACTTACTGTACTGCACTTACTGTAAGGAATCATTAAAGACTATCTGAAGAAACAGCTCATTGGGTATGTGTAGTTATTAGAAGATGTTTCCACTGCCTCCCAAATCTAATTTATATAGCACTTTAAAAACAACATCCAGTTGACCAAAGTACTTTACATAGGCATAAATAACTATAATAAAATAGGTTCCGTGTAAAAATAAAACAGCACAATAACTCAGACACACAGATGACATACATTCATTCATTCATTCATTTAGGCAAAGGTATTGAAGTATGGGATCAACACAGAACCAGCAAAACACAGATCAACATTTTCCATCAGAATATGTGACCTTATACTGTACCTGCACAATAACTGGTCAAAACTTAAAAATCGTTGTTTTTGCAGCTCTGTCTTCCTCATTTAATCATTTTGCACACGTTTGTTCTCATTTGTGAACAACACAGAGCCCAAACTACAAAGGATACCATGTCTGACAGGCCGGACACGGTCTTCTTCTGGGTCGCTGTCGACGGAACAAATGGTGAAAATCCCCAACAGCGCCCCCGTGGTCACACATTTCGGGGCAACACCTCAATTATCTGCCACGTTCACTTGCAATGCAAAAACCGGACCCCTCTGGTTTCACTGCTTTGAGATTCGTTATAGCTGATAACAGTGATTGTGTAACAACCTATACCCTAATAACGTGAAACCATGATATTTTCTGCGATAGCTGTCATACTGTGAACAGCTCATATCTGTGCAACACAGTACACAGTATCGATAAGCTGTGTGGGCTGTACATGCATGGCTGTTCTGCCCTTTTGCTAACACCACGTCCCCCAAACATAGCTGTGTTTTTTTAGTTCTGCACCCTGCAGATATCCAGTATTAACAGAAAAAGGCTGCTCTCGCCTAAAGTTACTGTTATTTACATACGCCATTTATGAATGGTCGTTACTGTTAGCAATTTGTTAACCATTAAGACATTCATTATTTACATACGCCATTTATGAATGGTGTCTTATCAGAAAATGGAACCACATTAAAGTCCTGTAAACTGTTACATGCAAACAAAATCAGGTATGTTCAGTCTCATTTACGATTTCAATAAACAACCAAATCAGTCGTAGTTCTATGAAGTGTAGGCCCAGGATGCTGTTTATCTGCAGTGGGAAGACTATTGAGACTGACCCAGTCTAGTGATCCGTACCTCGTTTGAATGAGAACTCTAGGAAGCTCTGCAGGCCTCTTGCCACGTAGGCTAGCGGGGCTATGGGATGAGACATCCCAAACAGGCTGCAGTCAAACGGAATCGCAGTGGTACTATGTTAGTCACATCTACAAACAAAATGTTCAGAAGAAAAAGTAAAAACATACACAGCGCCATGCAGCGAGGTGTCATGCAGAGGGACAGTAAAGACATTGGACCAGAAACTCAGCTGTTCACGACGACTTACCGAACCTCGGTATTTTTCCAGGGACACTAATTTCCCCCTGCTGTTCACCACTTTAAAGGTATAAAAGTCTTTTTGTTTGCTCTCAGTGAGGCTGAGTAAGGTCAGTAGCACGGTGAGCGCTGCACGGAGCATCGTTACAGTGGGAAACCTCTTCCAACTTCTCCGGAACTCCTCCGTCCTCAGGTCAACACCGGCAGTCAAGTTACAGACAGGGGTGGGGGGGACAACACTTCCAGGACTGACCTGCACTTATAAAATAAAACCTTTGTTCACGATTATGTGTAATATGCATGATTCATGGTCAGATTAACCTCATTTTGACCCCCAGGAACAGAGTTAACTTCCACTGGCCTATAGCCTAATGAAAGTTGCTGAAATAATAAATGATCAGTACGCAGGTTAGCCGACAGCAAAGCTTCTCAAATGGAAACAGACCTATTTGTTAGTTTTCCTAGTGAAACTGAATATCCTTGGGATTTTCACTTTCACCTTTGTGACATTTTATTCTCTCAACTCTCTCGGTATTCTATGTGTTAATTTGACAGAAAAAATTAAATCAATTTGATAAAACATTACAACAAACACATTGGCCTATAGTGGGCCTAAATATCCCTCATTTATGAAAAGTGGGCATATGCAACACAAAAATATACTTTCTTTCATGCCGTTTTGCTGTTAATTCAACTATTAAACAAATTTGATTATTGTTTTCTTCACTGACTTATTTTGATGTATTTGTTGTTGCTATTTAGATTTTTAAGTGTCCCCACATGTTGTGTCAAAATTATGAGATAATTGGTCTATATCAAAATATTAGCTTTTTTAAACTTAGAATCTCATAAGTCTGATTTATCTCAAGTTAAACCTGATTTTAACTATGTCATAATTATGACATATTGTGTGTTTTATCGTACACACTTTTCATTAGACTTAGTCTTGTGTTTTGTACTAAAATTAGTTTATTACCAGAGCTTTCTGTTAGCAATAATGACCACTGGTTTGGTATAAAACCATGAAGCAGAGTTATCCTAGCCCCTTCCATCACAACTGTCTAACGTTTTGGTGGTTTGTTGGACAGAAGGAGTCTTGAGCATTTATTTTGAAGGTGAATTGGAGAGAGAAGAACTGAAACTGGATCTCAAGCTTTTCACCTCTTGTTGTCAGTTCATTAAGCAAATGAAGGTATGCACCATGGCCTACTTTTTCTGGAGGAAAACAAATTAATGGCAGCCAAAAATACCGAACATGGTAACAGGATGGATAACAGGACTATTCCAAGTTGTCACAAACGCCTCTGTGTGAGAATCTAGGCTATGCCACAGAGTCATTACACATAGATGAGGTGCTGTGGATTTTTGTGTTTCTGAACTTTAGTTTTGGTTTGATTGAAAGATAGTGGCTGCAAAATTAAATAACCCCAGGAGGTGCTCCACATAGTCACACTGACGTTTTGTTGCATTCCTCGGCAGCTTCTGCATTATTGTTTGAAAATAGAATGTGTCCGGATATAGTATGTAAAAGGGCAACATTTTTTTACAACTATCTGTGTTTATCTGTCTGTACACAGTATTTTTCTTGTACAAACCAACTGAAAATAAATAAATAAGAAGAAAGAAACAACTACAGTGTCTGGCAAAAGAGACCAAGTGGTAAACTATAAAATATATATAATTTTGAATAGCACTATATTTACTAAAACAACATTCTGTTTTATTTTCTAGAATGTGTTTGCTGTAATACAAGTTTAATACACACAGAATTGTTTTATTTTGCTTTGAATAAAGTTTAATAATACATTTATAATTATTCATAACTATTGTTTTTGTTTTACTGCCTAAATATTTTCACAACAGATCGTATTCTGTCTGCAAATGGTGTTTTCATTTCATATAGCTATTTTGAATTAAACTAAACTAATTTGGGAGTACAGTAGATACGTTGAACAGTCTCCCAACGTCTTTAAACGCAGCACGATACACGCCCCTGTTCATCATCACTGGCATTCCCACAATGCATTGGGGTAATGAATTAACATGGCGTCAATGGTTGCTGTTTTGATCAAGGCCGTGGGATCTGAAAAATATTATGTAGAACAGAAGCACGGAGACAGATAAATAATAATCCGAAATCAACTTTAGAGGTCGAAAGAAAATTAATACACGTTCTTCTGTGTTGTTATGTTCGAAGTCGTTTTTTCTGTTTTTAAAGACTTGCTGCAGTGTGGTAACCAGGGGCCAGTGTTATTTATTTCCCGTTTGCTTGCTTAGCCGGACGACCGGGCACAGCGGCTAACGTTATTTAGCTTAACGGAGCTAACAGCAAAGTCGGCAAAGCAAACAGTCCTCAGGAGGTCAACGTGAATCCTTCCTAAATCACAGGGAACACATTTTAGTTTTAATGGTGAGCATATCTTTTAGTCGATAGTGTTTATGTGCTTTCGTTTATGTTTTGGAGGTTGAACTAACGTTAAGTCCCTGTGTTGTAACTGTTAGCGAAGCCTGTTTCCTTTAGCCTACCCGAAACAATATTATTAGCGCAAACCAGCCATGTCTGCAATAACCATAACCCAACATTTCCCAGAACGAATTCTTCCACGGTTAAGCGGGGAAACAGACTTCGACACAACGACACTGCGCGGTTTGACCTGCTTCTGCCCATATTAGATGTTTGTGTTTAGCAGCTGTCAAAAGTAACTAAGTGCCTTTATTCGGTTACTGTACTTAAGTACTTTTACTTTACTTTAATATTTCAATTTTATGCTACTTTATGCCTCAACTCTACAACATATAGAGGAAAAACTGTACTTTTCGCTACAACTATAATTGCGAGTTATATTTCAGTTTAAGAGTTCACAATAATTACCTTATGAAATGCAACGTATTGTTAAAGATTAAACCACTTTATCTTGTGACCCTGGCAGATGACTGTGAAACCTTAGCACTTTAACAGAGTGATTTCTCCTTTAAACTGCTCAAATGGTTTATTTTAAGTAATTTTTAAAATAATAGTTGAAGACCAAATTGGTAAAAATGTATCCTCTATTTTTTAAACAAAAAAAGCAAAAGTTTTAAAATAAATCAATTGGTTTTTCTTATTTTCTCCCCCATTAATTATCTCAGGACCCCTCAGGTTTGACTTGACTCTTGGAGCTGACCTCTAGGCCGGGAACCAATGGACTAATCTAATTAACTGTACATACATTAAATTCAGACTAGCTCCACTTCAATCAACTATTACCTTAAAATGCTGCATCCAAATTGACGCATCAGCCTTAGTAACCTAATAATCTCACAGCAACAACAACATTAATATTTTAAATGCTTTTTACCAAGAATGCATTACATTTGTACTCTTACTGAATAAGGTTTTGTAATGCAGGACTTTTACTTGAAGTCAAGTATTTTACATAAGTGTAATGTTTATTTGACTTGAACAGTGTTAGGCCATAATGTATTACTGTAATGATATTACTTTACCCATTAACCAGTAGTGTAAAAAGTTGCAATAACATTTCAGTAAGAATATTAGTTACTCCCTCCAAAAACAACTTGTTACAACATTACTTAACTTACTCAAGATTGATTTGAAATCCAACATTTAATATTTGTAGTCGCAGGTACACATGTCACTATTAGCAGGACCATACGCAGTAAACTAGCTTGGAAGATGAAAGTGCTTACATTCAGTGAATGGAAACAAGTGGTGTGCTCCTAGCCTGTAACCTTTTATGGATTTATAGGCGTCAGATGGCTTCAGATTTGTTGTTTTGTCAAAACCCAAACATATTAGGTTTACAGTGATAAAAGAGCACATTCTTATGTTTGCAAAACTGAAACTGGAGAATCTTTGGCTTTTTTGCTCATTTAACTAGCAATCGGTTATCAACACTAGAACCCCTTGAGGGTTAATAAAACGTTAATTATTGTCTGTTGGCTTATTGATGAATTGTTTCAGCTCTGTACTGTATTAAGATATAAAAGGTACTATATAGAATTTGCATGGTTCAGACTATACAATTTAAGCAGAACACTGCTCCCATGGAACAGAATCAGAGGTCACGATAGAATTTTTTGTTGTCCGTCATTTTGATGGGCAAGGTCCTAAAAATTCTTATCATATATTATTACCCATCAATGTTAAGACATAGCCCATGTGCAGCCACTTTTCATGTCAACACACAACTTTTTTCCTGCAGTGACAGTGGAGGCCACTAAAATCACTGCAGCCTTTGTGCATAAACAAGCAGAAATGAACATTGCAGTTTTACAAAATTAGATATTTATGATTAAAATATGAATAACCCATTTAGACAAAGAACTGTATAGAGCTCAGCTGACCTGCTGTAACCTAGCCTGCTGCAGAGGCAATTTTATTGTGTCTTCGGACAGACAATTTCTCATGCCTGTTATAAGTTAGATGTGAAAGCTGATCCTCTGCTCTGGTGCTGCACTGGATGCTGGACTAGCCAGCTCCACTTAAGCCAAAGCTTTGAAGTCAGGGAACATTTTTCTCGTGAAGTATTTGGAAGTTTAGAACAAGTACCTCAAAATCTTACTTAACTTCTGAACTTGAGTAAAGGTACATTATTACTTTGTATTACTGGCAAAATACACTTGCGGACCACTTGATTAGGTACACCTGTGCGGTTGTATGCACTTCAGTGTAACACTTCCACCATAGCATCTGTTTGTGAAGCTCAAAATGTTTGTTTTTGGTGAAATTGGCATAAATGTATAAATTCAATTATATGTTTATTATTGAAGTTACGGTTAAAGGTGGTGTTGTACTGGACTACATTATATTCAGAGGTGTTCCTAATATTCTGACCATCTCATGTATGTAGCTTCACCTGAGTTGGTAAAACAAGACAACAGTGTATCACAGTGCTTTTTGTAGTGTGGTCTTGCTGCTTAGACTGATAGCTATGATTTGGTTTTCTACCTAGACTTTAGCTGCCCTGCCTCCCTGGTGATCCTCAGCGTGGTGTTGACTCCACCAGGCACGAAAGGGATGGATGAACCCATGAGTCCAGTAAAATCAGTCAAACAGTCTCAGCCCAGAGGAGCCAAAGCCGTGTCCAGCGGGAAGTCAAATAAAGAGGCTCCTGCACAGAGAGAGGGCACAAAGTCTGCACCCCGCAGCAAAGAAAACCTCACAGCTGCAAGAGATGAGCATATAGGCAGCCAGGGAAGCCGCGGGCCAGGCAGGACGTCCACAGATGCCCCCCAGGACAAGAGGAGAGGACGTACCTCCAGACTGGCTAGGGTGACTGGAAGAACCACTTCTGGGGAGAGTGGCGAAGCAAAAGTAGTAAACTCTCAACAGCAGCTTTTGGCACAGGGTCCTGACTCCAGGACATCTATTCCTGCAGTTAGCAGTCACTCAGCAAACAGAGAGACCAGATCTACTCCTGGTACACCTGAGAAAGGTCTCACAGGGCAGGCCAAAGGCTCCACTGTAGCTCCACCAAAGGAAAGGCCCCATGGTGGGTCTACAGAAAAGTTTTTCCTCAGATGATTATGTCTTCTTGACTAAGTCTATCTTTGTTAAATTGCTTTATCTTTATTGCTTGTAGGGGTGAAAGCTGCAGCACCGATGCATCAGTCTGTTGAAGAGGGCCCAGAGGCCAGGCTTAGTGTGGAAGAAGGACTCCTCACAGAGCAACAGCTGGGCCTCCGACAGGCAGAGGAGCGTCTCTACAGAGATTACATCCTCCGCTTGGTGAAAGTAGGGAAACCGTCTAATCATGCCTCATACACAGTAAACGCATGGGAGGGGTTGGGTGTTTGTAGTTGAGTGTCTGTTAGACGACTGTAGGTGTCTGGAATTTGTAAACCTATAAACAATGACCTCTTCTGAGTGAGTACAGCAAGAGAATTTAATTTGTAGTGCTGAAGATCATAGCTGGTTAATTGATCAATAAAAAGAATGGAAAGAAATCAGAAACAGTTTAGATCATCAGCTCGTCATTTGCTAGTTACACATTCTCTGGTTTGTGAGTATTTGTTGCATTCCTTGTAAACTGAGCAAACTCTTGTCTGGAAGTAGATCCCTGCCATAACATTTGAGGGTGTACAAATCACATTTTGAGTGCTGCTCAGTTTGCAGCTTAGCATTTGAGAGCGTGCAGGCACATGATTGTAAGTGCAGAATTGGATTTGAAAGCGTAATCCCGCACATGATTGTAAGCGCAGAATTGGATTTGAAAGCGTAATCCCAGCCACGTGTGCACTCGTTTCTGAGTTTGCGCTCTCAGATGTCTGAAATGTTGTTAGTCTGCTCTGAAATGTTATGGCAGGCATTTACTGCCATATTCTTGGAGTGTTGGGCTGTTGCTCAGGCAAAACAGTCTATTTGAAGATGTCACCCGGAGCAACAAATTCAGAGCCCAGGCCTTAAAAAATAAGTGGAGATGCTATTGGACGACCTCATAGAGCTCTTCACACCAGACATGCTGAGAATATGTCTGAGCGGAAGCAGCTCTGTCAGGAAGAACTGTCCAGAATTCCCTGAGAACATTGTGTAAGTCTGATCCACAGCTACAGGCAGCAGTCTTGTGAGGTTATTGCAGCCAAAAGAGGTTGGACCAGTTATTAATTCCAAGGGTTCACTTACTTTTTCACACCAGCACTGTGAACATTTACTGGGCGTGCTCAGTTAATGCACAAAAGATTATAATAGTTTGTTTTGTGTTTTCATGATGAGATCACATCTTATTACCAGTTGATATAGAAAAGCAGGTCATTCCAAAGGATTCATATACTACTTATGTTCTTGGTATTTAAGCTGTCATCATTGGTCCATTCTGTACGACTTGGTGTCAAATCTCAATACTTTTACAGTACCAGCCCAAATGAGGTAATTACTTCATAGGATCAAAGTTCTTGAACAGCTGTTTTGTGTCAAGACAGAATTAAACGGTCATGTACTGGATGCTAAGAAGAGTAATGGCATCCCAGCCCGTCTGTTCTTTCTCGCTGACTTACTCATTTCTAGTCCCATTTGAATCATAACCAGTCTGTGCTTTTTCCTTTACTAGGGATTTGTTTGTTCCATCTCAACCTAGCCTGAGCAGGTGGAGTTAATGGTTGAGAATATGATCATGTGGAGGACAGAATTCAAAAACCTGTGGGAAAACATGTAAAAACTGATTTTGCTTTTGCCTGTTTTCACAGCAGTCCCCTGAGTACCCAAACTATCAGTACGTATGCAAGCTCTGTTCGGTGCACATTGAGAACATTCAAGGAGCGCACAAACACATCAAGGAGAAGAGACACAAGAAGAACATAATGGTATGGGAATGATAAGTTTGTGTTGTCATTCATCGCAGGAGTTGTATTTCATCACCTTTTCAGAATAGACACAACGTAAGGGGTTAGGATTCAGCACTTTTTGTGTTCTGGTGTATCAGGAGAAACAGGAGGAGAATGAGCTGCGTGCCCTGCCGCCCCCCTCTGCCCCCCAGCTCAGGGCTTTAGACACGGCTGTCCTGGAAACAGCCAAGCAGCACGGGATCTCTGAGGAGGACTTTGAGATTCGAAAGGCAGTGGCCATGAGGATGGAGGCGATCATACAGAGGCATCTCTCAGGTGTGCTGCTGTGATGTCATGCAGCCTGTTTCAGCCTGCTGAAGTTAGACCTTCTTGATCCTTCATTCTATTTTTATTAAGAGCAGTTTGTATATTTGCAGTCTTTCTGAGTGGGAAATATACTGCATACGCTACCAACCAGAAGTTTAGAACACTCCCCGGTTTTACTTGACATGTAAACAGTTCAAGTCCAGTGAATAACCTTAAATGGTGAAAAGCTAAGAAGTAAATTGATTTGATTTGATTTGATTTGATTTATTCTTTCAAACATGCAGAACAAATGACATCAACACACACATAATTATACAAATCCAACCAATGCTGATTCAGAATCAGTTTGCTTATACCTAGTACATGTTTGAATGGAGTAGGAAGAAGTCAGACTTAGCCAGTCCTACCCCATGACATCATCTTATACAAAAAAAATTCATACACAGAAAATTAAAAACAGAGTGTTTCCTTCCTGCATTCTTGATTAAATCTCTTATTCTTGCATGTATCTTGAATGACACATACATTTATATTTATATTTAAACTCCTCGATTCTAGTACTGTTTTTCATGTCCACACTTAAATTATTCCATAATTTGAC